GATTTAGGATTTAATATTTACATATATTATTCAACATTTGTATTTAACATTTCATACAAATTAGTAAAATGTAAGAACCGTGAGTTAAATAACAATTAAATGTTAGTGAACATTTTTTAACCAAGGTTTTACACTCATAAAGTGAACTAATATTAACATTTTCTTTTAAACTTGGCGCCCCATGCTCAACATCTTCAGTTTCCTGATGGTAAAGACAGAATTTCTGACCACTTCACTAAACTTAAAAGTAAAAAAATTAGAACGAACAATTGTTTTGCTTTTTTCTGATGCAGACTTCTAGCGAAGGAAGACACTCCATTCGAATTTCTGGCCTTAGCACCATTGACTTCAGAGCTGGGTTTTCTAGAGTACCGACCATGGATTTTAAAACAACATCTAGCAGACCAGTTCAAGGTGAGAAAAGTAAACCTGTCTGAATAAAACCATCACTTCTCATTWCCTTTAGGTGAATAAATAAGTACTAATTTCCATTTTCCAGGTGTTCCCACTCACATCCTTCTGAACACCACTGGACTTTTGTCGCCTGCTCGACCTGACCGGCTAGAGCTCCTCGCGATCACAGGGGAGGTCATCAAAACGTTGCCGATCCGGTACTATCCTGAGCGTCAGCCTTACAACCTCTGGAACATCACAGAGTTCATCCCGCCCAACGAGGCCTTCTTTCTGCGGGTTACAGGATATGATCAGGATGGTTATGTATTCCAGAGAGTCTCCAGTGTTTCTTTCTCCAGTATTATACCAAGTGAGTGATGTGCATTGTTGCCCACATTAAAAATGCTTCTTGGTATTTGCTAATAAGAAGACAGATTGGGTAACTTTTTTTTACATTGTCTCTCTTTTAGCTGCCCCTATAGTAACGATGCCAGGAACTACTAATGGTTACTACCTTCAGAGAGGAACCGTCAGATGTCACGTAGAAAGTTTGATACCCTTTACTYTGCGKTTCAGCAGRGATGGAAAGCGGCTTGGGGTGGACCAACTCTTCAGGTGAGGATGAAGGAGTGGAYGGGTCAGTTTAGGGATTACCAGAAAGATGAAACATTGTCCTTGTGTATCATTATCATTTTCTGTATCATCACATGTCTAGTATGGAAAACACTAAAATACTATAGCAGATCCAAAGTTATACCCTATCTATCTTGTCATTTTTTATTTACGTGATTGTATCCAGATGGATTTCTATCAGGTTGAAGAAAAGGTTTATGGCAGACCAAATGAATTTTAAGTATACCATAAACCCATCTTTGTGAACCGTTTGATTCCAGAGAGTCTGACAGTGCATCATGGGAAATCAACCAGGTGACTTTAAAGGATGAGGGCTACTACGAATGCATCGCCATCAGCAGCGCTGGGACAGGACGAGCTCGCACATTCCTGGATGTATCAGGTGGGCTGTCTTCACTTTACTCTTATAGCAAGGTACACTATTGTTTTTAATGTTCTGTACCACGTAAGGGGGTCATCACAGAAGGACACAAACATAAACGTATGTCATGCTCAAAAGACTTGCACCATGCTAAAAYATTCAAATATGAACAGATGGTTAAAATCAAAGGAACCATCAAAACAGGGTGAATTTAAGAGATTTGACTTGTTTTGCTGTGGATCTTATGCGGAGAAACTGCAAAAACGTCAATCATTTCATACCTCACAGCGATTCTGTCATGGGATTTTTGAGCCGGTTTGTAGGGATTATTTTGTAAAAGAAAAAAAAGTGGGGGGGGAGGGTAACAATTGCGCAAGATAGTATGTTCAACTTTGGCTGAGTTTGAAGCACAAATAAGCTCACAGCTTCAGTGTATTTCCACACAAAAATATTATTGAAGCAATAAATTGCTTTGTGATTCTGTTGTCATAAAGCCAAAACTAGAGAAAATAATTTCTACTTTCATGCACATCTCTGAACCAGTTTTCTTTTTTGCATGCTCCATTATGTTAAATAGAGCATTTACTTTCCAGACTGAACCTTTTTCTGCAATATTATGTGAGAATGGACACCACAAGCAACTGAATGGATGTGCTTTCCAACAAAGGTTCTGCTTTTGTTTGAATGTGATGAAAGCCAAGAAAGAAGGTAGAAAGTTAAGAACAACAGAGCTTAAACTATAAACTGGATAAAGATTAAAGCAACCAGACAGGGTTCCAGATAGAGTTTGTGTTTAATTGTCATGGCTAGTCTAAATGTTGCCTTTTTTTCCCCAAGTATAGCATAAAATAATCCTCCTTTTAGATTTAACCCAATGAACAAGCACTTCTTTGCGTAAATACACTCCCTTACTSTTTCAAATATATAATTTCCGCTGCCAAATTCCTGTCATCTAAATCCCAAAGAGCTACATTAAAATTCTCAGCATATTTTCTTTGTCTGAGCCAAAACCTTCTCATCTCATCTTCACCTTTGTTTTTTTCCTCAAACGTCTGCGCAACTCTGATTT